GGGGGGGGATCATAATTCTACCCCAAAATGAACAATTTTAAAAAGTTGAGATCATCATTCATTTTGCTATTTTTTTCTCAAAAAGATGGGCAAGAAATATAATAAGAATTTTATTTTCCCAATTTATTCATTAGACTGTAATAAAATTTGACAAATCTAAAATCTTTTTCTTATTGATAAAGAACAAAGTCGTTAATTCACAAACTCCAGGAAAAGATAAGTTAGCTCCTCGTGCTCTTAAGTGCGTATTTTTAGGTTACTCGAGAACGCAAAAGGGATATCGATACTATTCTCCTGACCTCCAGCGATACCTTATGTCTGCAGATATTACCTTCTTTGAAACCCAATCATACTTCACAGGTCCAGGTAATCACTTAGATATTTCTAAGGTGCTACCAGTTCCATCTTTTGGAGATTCAGTCACTATCTCCCATTCATCTTCCTCTACAGCTCCAGTTGCATCTCCACCACCTACAACTCCAGTTGCAACTCCACCACCTATAGTTCCAGTTCCACCACCTAGCTCTAGTGCCACCACTTAGTCCAGTTCAACCTTCTACAACTTCACCATTCCTGACTTATCATCGTCGTCCGTGCCCAGCATCGGGCCAACTTATTCACGTACTGCACCTGACCCGACTAGTACTGCGGACTTGTCTCCTCTTAGTCATCCGATTGCACTACGAAAAGGTATACGGTCCACACTTAATCCTAATCCCTATTATGTCGGTTTAAGTTACCATCGTCTGTCATCACCCCATTGTGCATTTGGCCTCTATATCAGTTGGACATTAAGAATGCTTTTCTTCACGGTGACCTTGAGGATGAGGTTTATATGGAGCAACAACTTGGTTTTGTTGCTCAGGGGGAGTCTAGTGGCCTTGTATGTCGGTTGCGCCGGGCCCTCTATGGTCTAAAGCAGTCTCCTCGAGCCTGGTTTGGTAAGTCCAGTACAATTATTCAGGAGTTTGGCATGACTCGTAGTGAAGCTAATCACTCTGTGTTTTATCGGCATTATGCTTCAAATCTCTATATTTATCCGGTCGTTTATGCTGACGATATTGTTATTACCGGTAATGATCAGGATGGTATTACTAAGTTGAAGCAACATCTCTTTCAGCACTTTCAGACTAAGGATCTAGGCAGATTAAAGTATTTTCTGGGTATTGAGGTTGCTCAGTCTAGCTAAGGTATTGTGATCTCACAACGGAAGTATGCCTTAGACATTCTTGAGGAGACAGGAATGACAGGTTGTAGACCTGTTGACACTCCGATGGATCCGAATTCAAAACTTTTGTCAGAACAGGGGGAGCCTATTAGCGATCCTGCAAGATATAGGCGACTGGTTGGTAAATTAATTTACCTCAAAATGACTAGACCTGACATTTCCTTTCCTGTGAGTGTTGTGAGTCAGTTTATGGATTCTCCCTGTGATAGTCATTGGGATGCAGTTGTCCGCATTCTTCGGTATATAAAAAATCAGCTCCAGGCAAAGGTTTATTGTTTGAGGATCGAGGCCATGAGCAGATCGTTGGATACTCAGATGCTGATTGGGCAGGATCACCTTTTGATAGACGTTCTACGTTTGGATATTGTGTCTTAGTAGGAGGTAAGAGCATGAAACAAAATGTGGTTGCTCGATATCTAGTGCAGAAGCAGAATATCGAGCAATGGCTATGGCGACATGTGAGCTAATTTGGATCAAACAGTTGCTCAAGGAGTTGAAATTTGGTGAGATCAGCCAGATGTAACTTGTGTGTGATAATCAAGCTGCACTTCATATTGCATCAAATCCAGTGTTCCATGAGAGAACTAAACATATTAAGATTGACTGTCACTTTGTCAGAGAAAAGATACTCTCGAGAGATATTGCTACAAAGTTTGTGAAGTCTAATGATTAACTTGCAGATATTTTCACCAAGTCCCTCACTAGTCCTCGTATTAGCTACATATGTAACAAGCTCGGTACATATGATTTATATGCACCAGCTTGAGGGGGAGTGTTAGAATAGTTATGTGAATATATGTAGTTAGTCCTTGTCCCTTATGTAATATGAGTAGGTTAGGTGTTATATATACATATAAACAGGGCTCATTGTAACATAGAATATCAATAATAGATTTTTCTCCCGTGCTTTCTCACATTAACAAGTCGGATTAGTTTTCGAAAAGACAGAAAAAAGTTACTTCCATGTTTTTTTATTTCTACAATTTGGGCTTATCCCTATTTCTTTTTGGGATGAGTACAACAACAACAAACCAAGTATAATCCCAAAAGTGGGGTTTGGGGAGGGTAGTGTGTACGCAGACCTTACCCCTACCTTGAAGGTAGAGACGCTGGTTCCAATAGACCCTCGACTCAAGGAAAGATGAAAGGAAAGCTGTAGCACAAGCATTAACAATAACAAAATAATAAGAAAACGAAGCGAAATGAACTAACACATTGTAATAGAAATCTAACAATAATAGTACACCAGACTAACACTAATACTATTGGTATGAGAAAGAAACCCTCTCGAGTATCTACTAGCCTTCTACTTTAATTCTCGACCTCCATACCTTCCTATCAAGGGTCATGTCCTCGGAAAGCTGAAGAAACGTCATATCCTGCCTAATCACCTCTCCCCAATGCTTCTTCGACCTACCTCTACCTTTTCTCAAGCCTACCAAGGTCAGCCTCTCGCATCTCCTTAATAGGGTATCTATGTTAGGAATTTGTCCTGATTTTTTTACCTTATTTGGATTTAAGAGTAGAATATTAACCATAATTGTTTTACTTTTTCTTAAAGGAAAATATAGATTTCTTCCATATTTGATAAATTCCTTCCTTGGCGGAAAAGATAGCGGCCTCTATTAATTGAGAATCCTTCATTCATGCAACAACACAAGAACATCCTTAATGTAGTCATTACGAGAGTTTTGTTTAGGGGAAGAATTATTCTCTCATATGCTTTTTCTCTTTTATATTAGTAAATCATATGTAGGTCACTTGACCAAACCATTTTGATATAATATGTTTCTTTAGTATATTTTTTTCTTGTCTGATTTATCGTCACTCGAAACTGCTTCGCTTCGGTTTCTACTTTCCGTAAGCGAGACCTATTGTTAAAAATAATGAATTACTATTTTCATTAACAGCCATCAAGGTTTGCATTGTTAGCTTCCGCATGATGCCTTGTTATTTTCGATCCCAACAAGTGGTATCAGAGCTAATGGTCCAGAGCGAGGTTGAAGATAGGTTAAGGCAGATTCAGATCAAGCAACCCAATTTGACGATACTGAAGAATTTTTTTTTTTAAAAAAAAAACCTTTCACAAAAAGTGGTATCAGAGCAAGTTGACGACAATGAAAATTTTTATCAACAAAAAAAAACTTTCAAGAATACTACATGTGGAGATAAACTTTCAACTATATTTTTAACAATCCTGCTGCTCTATATACAAAAAAACCATTTTTAACCCATGCGTATGTGCTCCAATTTTTAACTCATGCTTACTTTTAACGCATGACCTCCTACTTTTAACCCTACTCACTTTTAACGTAGGGCTTCACTTTTAACCCTGCTCACTTTTAACGCAAGGCTCCAATACTCTTAACCCGTGCTCACCTTCAACGCATGAGGCTCCAATTTTTATCCCATACATATTTTTAACTATGGCAAGCAATAGTGATGAAGATTATGTGAAGAAGCCGAATGAAGCATTGTCAAGAAAATTCGGGCCAAAGGGGAGAATTGTTTGGAGTTTGTCCTGATTTTCTTACCTTATTTGGATTTATTCTTTTACTTAAAGGAAGATTAGAATATTAACCATAATTGTTTTACTTTTTCTTAAAGAAAAATATAGATTTCTTCCATATTTGATAGATTCCTTTCTTGGCGGAAAAGATAACGGCCTCTATAAATTGAGAATCCTTCATTCATGCAGTAACACAAGAACATCCACAATGTAGTCATTACGAGAGTTTTGTTTAGGGGGAGAATTTATTCTCTCATAAGCTTTTTCTCTTTTATATTAGTAAATCATATGTAGAGTCACTTGGCCAAACCATTTTGATATAATATACTTCTTTAGTATATTTTTTTCTTGTCTGATTTATCGTCACCAAGGTTTGCATTGTTAACTTCCGCATGACACCTTGTTATTTTCGATCCCAATAATGTACGTTCCTCCTCTCCACATGCCCAAACCATATAACCTTTACTCATCTTTTTGGGATGAGTAAATGTTAGAATTTTCACTAGATGAGTACCTAGGGTGTGCATAACCCATGCACAGTGCATTGTCTAAAAGCGAATTTATTGCATAGTGTCGTAAGGAACAATTCCTTCGGGAAATAGGACCATACTGATAAACTCTACTCANGAGCTATAACACATACGCAAGAAGGAAGAATGCCTTAATGGACGGGTACGCTAAGGAAGGGGAGTCGCTTGCTTGTTTGGTGTGTTTGGAACCGGGTTGTTTAAAGCTACCCTTTCTTGAAGAAAGAGAACCTGGGCCCAGGTCTTGGTGTATTTTGACATGATTCTCAATACGCTATCTAAACTAGGAAAGTCAGTAAGGAAAGGTGGGACAAAGAAAGCTCTACTTCGGGTAGCTGGGTGCATTAACCTCTTTCTTTCACAGGAGAGGGGACAATACTTAAGGAGCTTGGGCTACTCTACAAAGAGACCCTTCAAGGAAGCTGATGATCTCTTCATGTTTGTACCAAATGAAAAATATTCACACAACCAAAAAGTTGTGGAGATGGACATTTCATAGCCTTTGAATTTCGGGAGCAGCTCAAACAAAGAAGAGTCTGGTCCGGTCTGAATTCAGGCACGACCCGCCCGTCTGCTGCTAGGTACGGAAATGGCGCCGAGCGAGGGTGCCGCTATGCCCCTTAATGAATTGAATGGTCCTTCGACCTTCGTTTGATTCCGACAGCCGGCATAGATCCCATGAGACCCGCCTAAGCAGTCAATCTATTCTATTCCGAGCCTGCTCTCCATTTCCACCGTTGATGCAATAGAAGCTCTTAATGCAATATCTGTGGATGAAGACAATATCTGTGGATGAAGACATTCTCGCTGCTACAATTGGAGTTGACGGTTCTAGTTCTGTTACAGTAAGAGCTGCGACACAGGCATTACTCAATAGAGGTGCAAGGCTGACAGAAGTACCAAAATTATCACAATATGCACCACTGCCAATTGAAAAACAAATTCTAGTCATTTATGCTATATATAGTGGGCGATTTACCTAGTAATCGACATTCTAGAAGCAATTTCTTTATTCTACTCGCTACCGGTTTAAGCCCTCATATTCAACTCGCTGCCTCATCCACATAGCATGAACTCGCTCGAAGTGCTTTCTCCTACTATGGTGTAGTTTACCAAGAACGGATTTATTTCTATACAAATTTTTCTCCTACCACTTAGAAAAACATTTAGGGCATCATAATTTTTTTTGGAGTCAACGTAGTGTTCGGACCAGCTTGCATGCTTCTTGGCTAATTCAACGGGTACCTATTATCTCCCATCAACACGGGTACATGGTAACTCTGCCCACCAAGGCTTAGGTAGGTAGAAGAAATGACCTAGTAGCTTTTTTTTGTCTCTGCTGGGAGCAAGGACTTTCTTACTTCATTGAGCACTATACCACACCATTGAGTGCTATAGGGCACCATAATTTCTTTTTAGAGCTAACAATTTTGAAAAAAAAGTTAATTGTTACTTGAACTGTATTCTGGGGATGGCTAACCATGATCCCGTCCTATAGTTAAGAAGTCCAGGAGAAGGTGAGAAAGGCTTTAATCCTAATTAATGCGTTAGGTGCAGCAACTGAAAAAGTATACTCTTATGCGCTGTTGCATTCTGGAGTTATCCATTGTAGTTATCCAGTATATTTGAGGACCATTGCATCTCCCCACCGTATGTAGGAGATTTATTTCCACCCTATTGGGGGTTTTGAAGCTAAATGAGTTTGAATTTTTCAAATATATGATAGCACATGAAAATTTGGTTAAATGTAGGATTACTTAAAGTCAAAGTTTTTCCCCAATACCTGCTGGTGAATACACTGAATAGCGCTTGCTGCTTCGAGTATACATACATTGGATTTCTAATTACAATTGTCGTGTTGGGCTGCACCCCTATTTGGTGCCTTTCAACAAATTTGTTTTAGTTGTAGGAAAAAAAGAAACTGGTTGGCCCTTCTCAACATCAATGTGTGAGTATGTGACTTCCTTTTTCGATTTAAAGATGAAAGTTATCTTATTCTAGGCTAAACAGTTACATTGTTTGACTTGGCTTCATTTCTCCTTACTTTGCTTTATCTCTGCTCTCATCTTATATTGTTATGGTTTCTTTGCGGAGAAACTCAAATTAACTTTTGCTCGTCTATATCCAGTTTCAAGACACATGTGAGGAGAGTCTTGCGGCTGTAGCTGGAATGTTCAGTAGTAAAGCAAAAGGTAATTGCATCATCAGCTAATTGTTCGTGGAGAATGGAACATAAAATCTTTTAGACATTGAAAATTGACTTGTTTGATTTGTGGATTAGTTTGAATGAGTTGTACAGGATTCATGATTACATCAATTACTTTTAGCGACTTCAGTTGACTCAACAATTTAATGATTCCTATAAATGATTACTTAGATTTGGTGAAGTAAATGCTGGTGTGTCCTGAAGTGTAAATGATCACTCTTTATTTTGACAAGGTAAATAATTTTATTTATAAGAGGAAAATCTCCCGTATACAAGCAACATACCTAAAAGTAGAAAATCTACAATGTAATATGATTCTCTACGGATGATACCCAATCTTTTATACCCCTGAAGAATGATCTTTATCAGTGGACTTCAAACTAAATGATTAACGGAAAAGTTTGTAAAATGGTAGTAACTCTTTAAGAAAAGCTTAAATGATGCAGGTCTTTTCTATGCCAGGTCTTGTTCATGGAAATAAAGGGAGGTTTTGTGGTGGGTAATAATTCTTTTCCCTCCTTGGTGTGCTAGGCTGGAACTCATTGAAATGCAGTGGCATCAATAATAACATAACCACTAATTTCTGTTGCCATTGGATGAGAAACCGTAAAATACTGAGTTTTCTTGAGATGTTATGTACCCATGCTCTTGAAGTATAAATGCAGAAGCTTTGTTTAAAAGCCGATACCACTCAGGGTTTTATGGTTGCTGGCTAAGTTGCTCAGACTCTTCACTTTTGTTGCCGCACCAGTATCGACACGATGTGAGTTTGGTGTGGGGGTGGGATCTGTACCAGATTTGGTCAACCGAATTTGGATACTTTAAACCAAAATTGATAGAGAAATTCGGGATAGATATAATGATTTTTGAAATCAAAACCAAAGCTAGGGTGAAATTGAAAAAATAGAATACCTTGTCTTGTATATAGAAATTTCTCCATCAGGCCTTCCTTTTATCTCATTTTTGGATTCTCCTCTTGATTAATATTTTCTCCTTCTCGGAATACCTTGTAAGTTTTTCACATAATGTCTCATAATATAGACATATTTTTATAACTCTATATTTAGATTTTCTAAATTATTTTTATCCGAATCCACGCACTTGTATCCGTATCTTGATCTATACCCCTAAATCTTAAAATTTAGATATGAAGGAATTCGACCTCTAGATCCGCACCCATATCGAACACCCGCACTCGAGTCCAAGCAACTTAGGTTGCAGCTCTAGGGAGTTTAGATATATACCTAATTCTGTTCTTGGTTGGAAAAAGGGGAGTGTGGATTTGGTTGAGTATTGTTGTACTTAGAGCTAGTTTGGCCAAGCTTCTAGGAGGTTAAAAGCATATTTTGTTTTTGTAAAAAAAGTACTTTCTCTTGTCAAGAAAAGTACTTTTTTAAAAATTTGAGGTGTTCGGCTGGGATGGAGAAGTGCTTTTGAGTAGCAGTAGAAGCAATTTTTCTACTTTTGGGAAGAAGCTATAAATTCTGGCTTCTTCCAAGAAGCAAAAGTAGAAAATTAATTTTTTTAAGACAAAATATTCTTACCATAAATTTATATTTCTCAAATTATCCTTCATTAATTTAACCTTTCCTTTTTCATTTTCCTTTTTGTTTCTACCATCCCCCCCCCCCCC